CACAGGAATGTGCTCTCTATATGCTTGAGTTTCTTATCACTTCTATGTAGGTAGATTGGTTGTTGTTTTCCTGGAGTCAACTGTGTAATTGGACTTGGTAACTGGAAAAGTTGCCCTTCAAAAAGAGCAACTCAAAAAGTTGGTTCAAATGCTCCCAGATGTGGTTAGGGAAAGGCAAAAATATGACATAAGGACCCGAACTTACACCAAATTTGCAATTTTGGACCCGAACTTTAATTGTGCTCAATGAAGGTTCCGAACTCCACAAAATTCTCAAGTAAGATCCCAATTGGACGGAAAACTAATTTCTTTCAAATCCCTTAAAAACACCGTTGACGCCGTTAAAGCTCCACCGAACTGAAACGCAGCTGGACAAAATTCTGATGACATGTCAATTATTTTGCCATGTGGATGCCATGTGGACATAAATTCTTAAACCCCACAAATAATTGGAACCACTGGTGGGCTTTTGGTCTTTTTGACCAAGGTTTCCCATGAATTAGGGATAAACTCCCTAATTTTCACCTGCTGCTTCATTCTTTGTTCTTGAAATCGAAATCAGATCTGGAAAATTTCTCATCTGGAAAATTTATGATCTGGAAAATTTTACCTCCTTGCAATCTCCTACCAATCTTCTGTAGAGTCGAAGAGATTGAAGATGGAGATGGAGATGGTTCGGCAGTGGGTGGAGTAGTCGTTATTTCTGACGGAGGCGGTGCAAAAGCTGGCAATTTGATTTGACTGCATGAGACGGAGGCGGTGACTTCTTTGGAGAATGAAACGGTGATGGTGTGGGTGATTGCGCAGTGGCAGAGGTGAAGAGCAGTTCTATGACCAAGATCAAGAAAAAGTGCAAGGAAGCCATTACGCGAAGAGTTTGAGAGCCTATCGATCTTGAAATCCTTTCCCATTTTTGTCTTGAAATATTTGTTTGAAATAGGGGAGGAGAAGGCCAAGGCAGAGGTGAAGGCAAAGCTTAATGGCCGAAGCAGGGGCGTAGGTGGAGGTGCAGGTGATTGGCCTGAAACCAAGATGAAGTCCACGGCTTCATGTTAGCACGAGTGAGTTAATCCCAGGAAGAAGGTACTACAAATGCCCATTTTGGCAGGTTAGTAAAGGGTATTTGGTAATTGTTCTTGAAATTAATTATCACATTTCAAGTTTATTTGCTTTTGAATCTTATTTTTAGTACTGCAGCCAGGTGGTGGTGGAGCAAGAGCTTGCATTTTTTTTTGAATGGGTTGATGTTGAATTATCGAGTTGGTACAAAGATATATTTAACAGGCTTAAAAATGAAAAATTGGCTTTGGAGAATGAGAACAAGATGTTAAGAGCAGAATTGGTTAGTGCAGAGAGTAGTGGAGGTGTTGAAATGGAAGCAATGGTGTCTAAAAGAGAAAAGGACGAAAAGTGTATTTGTGGAATGGACAGCAAAGAAGGAATGCCAGAAAAAATAGAAGAGAATGGAAGGCTAGATTCATTCAATTTGAATTTTTATAGGACTGCTTTTTTTTGTTGTGTTGTTTTCATTGCTTGTCTGGTTTTGTTGAAGTGAGGTGCGATAATAGCCAATTTATGTGGTCTGTTTTGCTCAGTAAGATGCCCAAATGGCCATTTTGTGTAGTGCAATAGGAAGTGGTCATTTTGCTTCTGTTTTGTCAATGTAAGATGACCAAATGGCCATCCCACCTGTAATCACAGTTTCTGGAAATATACATCTGACTTCTTACTGATAGTTTCTGGAAATGAAAAGTGTTTATTTTGTATATTCTCATTCTTTGCAAGTCTACAGAATATGATGTATATCAAACTAACAATAGACCAAAATACATTGTAAAAGAAAATAATACATTATAGAATACTATAGTAGACTTAAACAAAGAAACCAGAATCCATTCTAATAAAAATACCAGTTTTAACTTAAACAACATACTAGAATACATTGGTACTGCAATAGAATACATTCTAACAACTAAGAAGCAATACCACAGTAACATTATACATAAATAAAATACCAGTAGACTTAAACAAAAATATCAGTAGACTTAAATAAAAATACCAGTAGACTTAAGCAAAATAACACAGTAGACTTAAACAAAATACCAGAATCCATTCTAACAAAAATACCAGTTTTAACTTAAGCAACAGACCAGAATACATTGGTACTGCAATAGAATACATTCTAACAACTCAGAAGCAATACCACAGTAACATTATACATAAATAAAAGACCAGAATACATTCTAACAAAAATACCAGTAGACTTAAGCAAACTAACACAGTAGACTTAATTTTTCTGTTTTTTTTTAGGTTCTCTTCTTCCCAGAAATCTGGATCCCATTTTCATGTCTTCCATTTCTCTTGCTCCCTTGTTTTGAGCTTTCTCCAACTTCAATCCTTGGCCCAATCTCCCTAAACTCTTGTTGCATTCCTCTTCTTTCCCTTTGACTTCCATTTGAAACAAACAACTCAGAAGCATGTCCAGGCTGTTTCATGATTTTTTATGGAAAAAGAAAAAACCACATAAGTCACATTGTTAAAGTCAAAACCTTTATAACTGAACATAAGCAAAAAAGAAAAATTATATATATACTTATACATGTATACACCAGATTTTATAAAATAAAATCTCAAGTGACAATAATGCTCTTACATCCAAAATGACATCTCCAGTGAATGGGTCATTAAAGATACCAAGACCAACTTCTTTTCTCTTCTTGTAAGCATGTTTTTTGCCCTTGGGACCAACCTTCTGCATAAAAAAAAAAATTAAATTAAATTAAATAT